ACCTCAAGAACAATGGCAATGGGTTTTTGATCCTACTGTACCTATTGGTTTCGTGAGAGCCTAGGCAGTTTGGATGCTCACCTTACTAGACCTGGATGGAGGTGGGTGGTCCTTGGACTTCCCACAGGGCAGAGAACCCTGATTGCTCTTTGGGCTGACGAGGGAGGGAGACTTGATTGGGGGAGGGGGAGAGAAAGGGGAGGCGGCTGGGGGGAAGAGACAGAAATCTTTAATAAATAAATAAAAAAGAAAAAAAACAACGTGGAGACATTACTAATTATGAAAGCTTGGCTGTAGCTTAGGCAGGTCCCACTAGCTCGTATCACTTAAACTAACCCGTTTATTTTAATCTACATTTCGTCGCACAGCTTATGACCTCATCTCTCCGCACTGCTCCTGCTGTTTCTTCCACATCCGGCTGGCGACTCTGCCTTCTTCTTTCCAGAGTTCTCTCTTTCTCTACCCAGGAATCCTGCCTGTCCCTGCCAATGCCTAGCTATTGGCCATTCAGCTTTTATTACACCAGTCACTACAATACATTTTCCCAGTGTACAAATATCCCACACACTAGCTAGCCATAGAGCCCAGAAATCTGCTAGTTTCTACCTTGGCTTAGTGTGTGTGTTTTCTTTGTTTTTAGCTCAGGCTAGCCTAGAAGTTTTGAACTTGTTAGATCCCTAAGACCAACCTTGAACTGCTGATCCGCTGCCTCTACGTCCCAAGTGCTGGGAATATAGGCATGTCACCAGGTCCAAATAGGGATTTTCTTATAATAAATTGTGGGGGAGAGCTGGAGAGATGGCTTAGTGGTTAAGAGCATTGACTGTTCTTTCAGAGGATCCGGGTTCAATTCCTAGAACCCACATGGCAGCTCACAACTGTAATACCAGTTCCAGGAGATTCAACAGCCATGGCAAAGCATCAGTGCACATATAAAATAAAAATACATAAATTTAAAAATAAATAAATAAGGTGTGGGAGAAATAAAGCGATGTTTTCAAGAGTAGGCCATTTGCTAAGTAGTTTTCGGTTGCTGTGGTAAACATCATAACCAGAAGCAACTAACAGAAGGAAGGGTTTACCTGACGTGTGGATTCAGAGGAGTAAGAGTCCACCATAGCATGGAGGCCTAGCGACACGCAACACACGTGGAAGTAGGAGTAGAAAGCCAAGAGCTCACATGTTCAAGTACACATATGAAGCAGAGAGAGCCACCTGGAAGAAGGCTGAGGCGAGGCACTCTCAAAGCTCCCAGGGACACACTTCCTCTAGCAAAGCCACACCTCGAAAGGCCACATCCTCTAAACCTCTCCCATCCCAGCACCTCCAGCTGATGACTAAGTGTTCAGAAGCCCAAGCCTATGAGGGACATTTCTCTCTTAAACCACCACAGGCCACTATCATTATGTCCCTCTGTGTGCTGTTAATATGTTTTATTACCATTGGCCCATGGCAGGGCAGAATATAACTGGGCGGGAAAGCCAAGCTGAATACAAGGAGAAAGAAGGCGAAGTTGAGGGAGACACTAACAGCCACCGGAGAAGCAAGATGTGAGGTAACAAGCCATGAGCCTTGTGGTAAAATGTAGAATAATAGAAATGGGTTAATTTAATTTGTAAGAGTTAGTTAATAATAAGCCTGAGCTAATAGGCCAAACAGTTTGTAACTAATAAGCCTCAGAGTGGTTATTCAGGAACTGGAGGGCAGGAAAAAACCTCCAGTTATGGTGAGTGGAAGTTTATGCCAGAAGTCTGAACATTTTAGCAGCTAAGACAACAGGATTACCACATGTTCTAGGCTAGCCTGGGCTACATAGTGAGTTTTGGGTCAGCCTGAACTACAGGGTAAGACCTGCCTTCAAAAATAACACTACACATACACACACATCACAATATCACATGAAGTAGAAAATGGTTTATTGTTTGGGGGACTGGCAGGAAGTTCGAGAGAAAGGGAATTGTATGGAGGAGTGAATGTGGTCAGAGTACATGGTGTACTTCATAGGAATGTCATTATAAAACCCACCATTATATATGATGAATGCATTCCAATAAAAATAGAAGCTCTTCTGGGCACACCTTTATCTCAGCACTTGGGTGTTGGGAGCTATTAGGGGCTGTGGGCTCTGTACCCTAAATTCCTTGTGAGCAGCTTGTTTTTTCCTGTGCTTTCAGCTGCTCTGAGCACAAGACCTTGATGGCAGGCTGGTGGGTCAGCCACTGAAAGATTCCTAGAGCTGGGGCGTGGCCAGAGCCCTACATAAGCACAATAAACTTGGCCCTGAGCACAATAAACCTGGCATTCTTGTATCAAGGATGACTCGTGTCCTCGTCTCTTTGTCTTTGTCTGTCTCAGTCTCTGTGTCTCTGAATGTTTCAATCTCCAGCCCCTTGCCAGAGACTCACAAACCGTAACAGTAGCGCTGACCATCCTGTAGTGCTACAGGTGTAGAACTTACACTTGGGAGGCAGAGGCTGGTGGATTTCTGTGAGTTTGAGGTCTGCCTGATCTACAGAGCAGGTTCCAGGACAACCAGGGCTACACACAGAAACCCTTGAAAAAAAGAGAGAGAAAAAGTAACACTTAGCCTGTCATAGTGGTACAGGCCATTAAGCCCAGCACTTGAGAGGCAGAGGCAGGAGGGTTTCTGAGTTCAAGGTCAGCCTGGTCTGCGGAGCTAGTTCCAAGACAATTCATTGGTGCTGTGCAGAGATCCTTGTCTTGAAAAACAAAGAAACAAGTAATAATAATAATAATAATGAAAAGGCTTCCCTAGCATGCGTAGAGCCCTGGGTTTGATTCCCAGTATAAACAAGGAGTGGATGAGCACACCCGTGATCCCAGCAGTCGGGAGTGGATGAGCACACCTGTAATCACAGAGATCCACCTGCCTCTTCTGCCCAAGTGCTGGGATTAAAAGTGTGGCCACCACCTCCCAGCCCTTCTGCTGCAGTTCCTGCCTTAAGTGAAACAAACCCTTTCCTCTCCTTGCTGCTCTTGGTCCTGCTGTTTATCATAGCAAAAGAAAGCAGATCAAATATTTTATTTATTTGTTTGGTGTTTTTGTTTTTGTGAGACAGGGCTTCTCTGTAGCTTTGGAGCCTGTCCTGTCCTGGAACTTTTTTGTAGACCACTCTGGCCTCGAACTCACAGAGATCAGCCTAACTCTGCCTCCCAAGTGCTGGGATTAAAAGCATATGCCACCACTGCCCGGTTTGAAATAAATATTTTAAAAAGAGAAGTTCAAGGCTATTTTCAGCTATGTAGCAAGTTTGAAATCAACCCGGTTCACAAAAAAAAAAAAAAAAAAAAAAAAAAAAAAAAAAAAAAAAAAAAAAAAAAAAAAAAAAAAAAAAAAAAAAAAAAAAAAAAAGGAAGAAAGAAAGAAAGACAGGAAAAAAAAAGAAAAAAATTGGGCTGGTGCGATGGCTCAGTGCATGTAAGTGCTCACTGTGCAAACTGAATGACCAAGCTTAGCTCCTGGAAGCCACGGAAAAGCTGTCCCCAGGGCTGCGCAGCTGTAGTCCCAGAACTCGGGGGCAGAGACAGAAGACTCACCCAGATCACAGGCCAGCTCTCTGGGAGTGCACAGTGCCACTGAATAGCAGCGAGAGAGACTCTTGTTTCAGTACTGAGGAAGGAGAATGCTGTCCTCTGACCTCCACACATATGCTGTGGCATGTGCTTGCCTGCACTCATACACAGGAATAATACATAGAAATATTTATATTTTTAGCCGTGCAGTGGTGGCGCACGCCTTTAATCCCAGCACTTGGGAGGCAGAGGCGGACAGATTTCTGTGAGTTCGAGGTCAGCCTGGTCTACAAGAGCTAGTTTCAGGACAGGCTCCAAAGCTATAGAGAAACCCTGTCTTGAAAAACCAAAACAATAAATAAATAAATAAATAAATAAATAAATAAATAAAATAAAAAAAACAGATTCAACGCAATGCCCAGCAAAATTCTTCAAAGACCTTGAAAGACTGGTACTCGGGCTGGAGAGATGGCTCAGCGGTTAAGAGCACTGACTGCTCTTCCCGAAGACCCGGGTTCAAATCCCAGTGCCCACATGGTAGCTCACAACTGTCTGAAAATCCAGTTCCAGGGGATCTGACACCTTCACACCAATGCACATAAAATAAAGCTAAATAAACCATAAAAAATTAAAAAAAGAACAGTACTCAACTTCATATGGAAAAGCAAAAAAACCAGGATAACCAAAATAATCCTGTACAATAAAAGAACCTCTGGAAGCACCACCGTCCCTGACTTCAAACTGTACTACAGAGCTACGGTACTGAAAACAGTCTGGTATTGGCATAAGAACAGACAGAAAGACCAATGGAACCGAATAGAAGACGTGGATATCAATCCACACATCTTTGAACACCTGATATTTGATAAAGAAACAAAAAATAACAAATGGAAAAAAGAAAGCATATTTAACAAGTAGTGCTGGCATAACTGGATATCAACATGTAGAAGAAAGAAAATGGACCCATATCTATCACCATGCACAAAACTCAAGTCCAAATGAATCAAAGACCTCAACATAAAGCCAGCCACACTGAATCTTATAGAAGAGAAAGTAGGGGTGGTGGCGCACGCCTTTAATCCCAGCACTCGGGAGGCAGAGGCAGGTGGATCTCTGTGAGTTCGAGACCAGCATGGTCTACAAGAGCTAGTTCCAGGACAGGCTCCAAAGCCACAGAGAAACCCTGTCTCGAAAAACCAAAAAAAAGAAAAGAAGAGAAAGTAGGAAGTAAATAGAACTCAGCAGCATCGACACTGAGAAACAATTAATAAATGGGACCTCCTAAAACTGAAAAGCTTCTGTAAAGCAAAGGACACGGTCAACAAGACAAAATGACAGCCTACAGAATGGGAAAAGATCTTCACTAACCCCAATTAGACAGAAGTCTGATCTCCAAAATATACGAAGAACTCAGGAAATTGGACACCAAAAGATCACATAATCCAATAAAAAATGGAGTACAGACCTAAACAGAGAACTCTCAACAGAGGAATCTAAAATGGCTGAAAGACACATAAGGAAATGATCAACATCCTTAGTCATCAGAGAAATGCAAATCAAAACAACTCTGAGATTCCATCTTACACCTGTAAGAATGGCCAAAATCAAAAACACTGATGACAACTTATGCTGGAGAGGTTGTGGGGAAAAGGGAACACTTCTGCATTGCTGGTGGGAATGCAAGCTGGTACAACCCCTTTGGATGTCAGTGTGGCGATTTCTCAGAAAATTAGGAAACAACCTTCCTCAAGACCCAGTAATACCACTTTTGGGTATATATCCAAAGGATGCTCAATCGTGCCACAAGGACATGTGCTCAACTATGTTCATAGCAGCATTGTTTGTCATAGCCAGAACCTGGAAACAACCTAAATGCCCCTCGGTCAAAGAATGGATAAGAAAAATGTGGTACATTTACACAATGGAGTACTACACAGCAGCTTGAATTTTGCAGGAAAATGGATGGAGCTAGAAAACATTATTTTGAGTGAGGTAACCCAGACACAGAAAGACAATTATCACATGTACTCACTCATAGGTGGTTTTTACACATAAAGCAAAGAAAGCCAGCCTACAAACCACAATCCCAGAGAACCTAGACAACAATGCGGACACTAAGAGAGACATACATAGATCTAATCTACATGGGAAGTTGAAAATGACAAGATCTCCTGAGTAAATTGGGAGCATGGGGACCTTGGGAGAGGATTGAAGGGAGGAGGGGAGAGTCAGGGAGGGGAGCAGAGAAAAATGTAGAGCTCAATAAATATCAATAAAAACGTATAAAAAATGAAAACACACACTTTAATTAGTGTATAAATTGTTAAGGTTAAAAAAGGAAATATTTATTTTTTAATTAGCATGTACAAGACTCAAGATTTAATCAGTTATTGATCAATGGTAGAGTGCTTGCCCTCCACATGTAAGGCCTTGGTTCTACCCTCAGCACACTCACACACACTCACACACACTCACACACACTCACACTCAGACACACACACTCAGATACACACAGACAGACATGCACACTCACACACACAGACACACACTCACACACACAGACAGACAGACACACACTCAACACAGACACAGACATACACACTCAGACACACACTCAGACACAGACACACACACTCAGACACAGACACATGAACTACATAAAAGGACAATCATTATTTCAAGAGACTAAAGCCAAAAATGATGGTAGGAGTTGGTAGTTACATACGGAGAAGGGAGAAAACCTTTTTTTTTTTCATTTATTTGTCTTTTTGAGCTCTTCATTAAAAAGAAAAAACAAACCACAAAACCTCCAGTTTTCTATAACTTTAAGTTATTTAATTTTTTAAAAAATAACGGACTGAATACATGAAAACATTATTTGTAAACAAGATGGCAAGCTTGTTTACAAATCTGAGTCTCAACTCCTGTCTGAAGTTAGGTCTGCAGATTTCTTGTAACAGGAAGAAGCTGAATCGGGAAGGGACACATGACAATAATCATGGCTCATGATTGATAACGTTCAATGTAGGTCAGTTTGCATAAATTTGCCTTAACAATCACAATAGCAGGGCCGATAGCAGATAAAATTTGGACACACCCAAACACAGGGCATGGGGTCCATTGGGCCATGGGGCCCACAGGGTCAGAGGTAGCTATCTGCCAACTCTGTCCACTGGCTGAGATTGCCTTGGGTGGTGCCTCACTCTGGTCAGGAATCCTGCAGGAACCAGAACTGTCTGGCCACAGCTGCTCGGACCCACATTGGGCCATCTCCACAGCTGCTCAAGCCACAGTGGGCCATCTCCACAGCTGCTCGGGCCTGTAGTGGGCCATCTCCACAGCTGCTCGGGCCACAGTGGGCCATCTCCACAGCTGTTCGGGCCTGCAGTGGACCATTTAGTTCCAAGAAGATGGGATGCTGAGAGAATTCAGGTGAGTGACTTTAGCCACATTTCTAGAGCTATCCATGGGAGACAGGTGGGAGCCTCACACCCATTCAGGACTCCCAGGCTCCTTCCTTCCTCTTCTCAAGGCCTGGCAGCCTGTTGACCTTTGCTTGTCTGAGGTTTATGTTTCTGTGGGCCCCAGCAGCTGCCTGAAGGGAGGGGGTATGGCCCTGAATGCCACTGGCTGGCAGGGAGAAGCCAGGAGACTCATTCCCAGCTCTAAACAAAGCCCTATTGATCTTTGACCCCTGCCCCTCCCAAGCATCTTGGCCCTCTTCCCACCCCCTTTCTTCCTTGTGGGACTCTCCCTCCACTCTCCCTCTGTCCCCTCATTTTCCTCCATGCTCTTGCCTAGACCGGCAGCTTCCCCAGCTCCTGGCCCAGTCCGATCTGTCCATGCTGTCTTCAAGTCCTGCTTCCTGTACATCTCCCAAGCCTGACACCGACAACCCCGACAAGAAGGTCCACTGGGCTTCTGAGAAGAGAAGGAGGGCATCTTCCACAGACTCAGAATCAAAGTCTCACTTGGACGTCTCTAAGTTGCCCAGGTCCCGGAGGCCCAGCCGGCTAACGGTGAAGTACGACCGGGGCCATCTGCAGCGCTGGCTGGAGATGGAGCAGTGGGTAGATGCTCAGCTGCAGGAGCTCTTCCAGGTGGGTAGCTTGAGGGAGGCTGCCGGAGACTGTGGACCCAGGCCAGGTCCTGATACTCAGAGGGCTTGCTTGGAGACACCCAGGGGAGCTGGAGGGACGATGTCTGATGTTGTCACGGAGCATGCTCCTTCTTCAGATGGAAGGAAAGTCTTGACTATGTCTTTAACCCCTGTGTGCTGTGGAAAAGGTCCTTTAACATTGCCGGAACTCCGTTTCTGAGCTATACAAGGGGGCTCTCCATGCCTGATGTAGCTCTTTGCTAAGACGTTCTAGAGTCAAATGACAGTTGAAGAGTCCATGCTTGGCCAGACTTTGGTTTTATGTCTTTTTGGTGTACATCCATGCAGAGAGCCACATTGTCTAGTACTGTGGCTATTAGCTGTAAATGAATGAAGTTGAAAGAAAACTTAAATGTGGGTCCCAAGTCCCATAGACACGGCTAAAGTGCTGACGGTCTCATGCACCATATTGACGGCACAATGTGGACCAGCTCCACTCTCTCAGAACTAGACAGAACAGGCAAGGAAGAGCACCCATACCGTGACCCCAGCTGGCTTTGCGTGTACCTCTGACCGCCTTTGCTCGGCCTCAGCCTGGGAGTCACAGGAGGGGCACCTTCACCAACTCTGTTCTCAGTTGATCCCTCAAGGATAACATTTTGACCTCTTAACGGCACCCTAGCCTCAATGCAAGTCCGAGCACGCATTATTTGATTTACCCCCCCCCCCAGCCCCATCAGGCAGGTGCTGTCTTTCAGCTGAGAGAATGGAGACTCGGGGCTGGAGAGCTCAGCTGGTAGAGTGTGTACGTGAAGTCCTGGCTTTGACCCCCCAGCACGGCGCTCGTGGCTCATGGTGGCACATTCCTATGGGAGGTAGAAGCTAGAGGGTCGAAAGTTCACAGGTATCCTCAGTGACCTAGTGAATTTGAAGCCACTTGAGATACATAAGTGACTTGTTCAAAGTCATACAGCTGGGGAGCCATGGGACTGGGAGTTAGTGTGGCCCCTAGCTGGAGAGTTTGGGCATTTATTTGAACAGCCGGTGAGAACGGAAACCTGCTAAAGCAGGTGCATGCATCGGGCAGTTTATAGTCACCATGGTTGGGTCCAGGAAACTAACTCATAGGACCGGGAGTTCTCATTGTTCACAACAGTGTTTAGCCTGTCTGTCTTCTTCCTTCCTCCTTTCCTTCCTTCCTCCTTACCCGGCTCCCATCTTTCCATCTTTGGGTCCTGTGTCAGGCCCAGTGATTCTTGCCAGTGAGGAGGCTGTCCTGCTACGGGAATAGGAAAGGCTGGCAGGAGGAGCCTGGTCTGTCCTGCAGCTTACTGTGTTGTATGTCCGTTTAGTACATGGGTTGCTCTTGTCTGCTGAAGCATTAGCCTAGCTGTAGAGGGTAGAGAGATGCCCCTGAGTGGGGAGCCAGAGAGATAGACGTTCTTAGTCCCCACCTGTTGTTTTGCAGGGCACCTACTCCACCCCACTTCACCACTTCCAGCTCCTCCCCTCTGACTTAGTTTCTGTTTCAAAGTGTTTCTTGGGCTCTTGCTTGAAAAGTCTCCTATTCCAGATACCTCAGGGCGAGTCCTGCTGAAGAGCCTCGTTTACAAGGTGAAGATGGAGGAGGGGAGGGGTGTCTAGTAATGTGCCCTCAATGAGGCCAAGCAAGGCCTGTGAGAGGACCGCTCCCAGGCAGTGACTGGCATAAAACGGCTGGCCTATAGTTGCCATGGCAATTGTCCAAAGGTGCCCACAGGAAGCAGCTAACTGCCTGGGAAGTTCCAGGTGGGTGGGCATCTTAGATAGAAGTCAAGGTAACTCTGAGCTTACTCAGCTTCAGGTCTGCCTTCACAGCGCCCTCTGCCTCCCTGGCTCTAACCTGCCCACCTTGCCCTGCGGCACAGTTGGGAATGGTTACGGGGTTGTGTGACTTGTTTAGTAACTACACTCAACCTTCCTTCCTCAGAGGGCCAGTGTCCACCTAGGTGTGTAGCTTGGCCTGGGGTCTGTGGGGAATGAAATCTGGGGATACACACAATCTGAGGGCACCGAAGCATCTGTTCTCCAGAAGTTACCTGAGGATTTGACTTCTAGGCAGGGACTTAATCAGCTGTATATCATCAAGGAGACCCTTTTTAACAACCGGCTCCATCCGCTGTTTCTGTCCCCTAGGTTTTTACTTCACGTCAGGCCCTTAAAGTCACGACTTGTCCTGACTTTTCCTACTTCCAACCACTCAGTCCCCTGACTCAGGTTGCTGTCCACAGCAGTAGGTGTAAATCTGACATGGACATCAGCAGGGGACACCACTGACCAAGAGTGAAACATTTCCTTCCTGCAGCCTCCATGACACTGGGTTTTCCTGGTGACAGCTGGAACACATTCCTGTTGGGATGGTGGATGGTGACATTTTAAAGCAACAACCTATTACATTTTTTACTCTTTTTGTTTTTGTTTTTGTATCTGGCTGCCCCTGGAACTCGCTCTGTAGACCAGGCTGGCATTGATCTCACAGAGATCCACCTGCCTCTGCCTCTCAAGAGACAGGATTACAGGCGTGCGCCACCAGTGCCTGGAAGTCTATTACAGTTTTAACTTTTTAAAAAGTGTGGTTGCCAAGCCTGGTAGCACAGGCCTATAATCTCAGCTGCTGAGGAGACTGGGCAGAAGTATTGCAGGTTCAAGGCTAGCTGGGGCAACTTAGTGAGACCCTATGTTGAAGTGAAAACTACACAAAAGATCTGGGGCTGTAGCTCAGTGTAGGTAAGGCACTTGCTCACCATGTGTAAGAACTTGGGTCTCACATCCATCCTGAGTGCCACCAAATACGTAAGTACACGGAAAGTGTTGTCAGACTCTCTGAGGTGGCTAAGGTGCCACCACACAAGCCTGGTGACCTAAGTTGATCCCTTGCACCACACCCAAGTAAAGGTGGAAAGAGAAAACCAACTCCACAAAGTTGTCCTCTGACCTTGGCACATGTACTCCCATCATACACATGATGATGAGGATGATTGATTGATGATAATAATTTTTAGAAAGTTGCCAGCTGGACATGGTAGCGCACACCTTTAGTCCCAGCACCCAAGAGGTAGAAGCAGGCAGATTTCTATGAGTCTGAGGCCAGCCTGAGGGGCTGAGGGTGGAGCTCAGTGGTAGAGCACGTGTTTAGCATGTGCAAGACCCTAACATTAGGGATGAGGGGACTTGAAGGAAAAAATGCTGGGGCTCTGACACAATCCTTTATTATCATTTTACCGTAGGGTCCGCCATGGTCAACATATATTGAAAACATAATGATATAGTAATGGTTTGGAGTCAGGAGTCTTTTTATAGAAGCAAATTTCTAAACTCTTTAAAAACTTATGGCTGGGCTTGGTGGCTCACGCCCTTCATGCCAGCACTTGGGAGGTAGAGGCAGGTGAACTTCTGTGAATTTGAGGCCAGCCTGGTCTACAGAGTGAGTTCGAGGACAGCCAGATGGTTACAGAGAAACTCTGTCTTGAAAAAAAAACCAATATAATAATAATAAAAATTGTGTATGTGTGTGCACACATGATGGATATGTGTGGGTATTCATGCCGCAGTGTGTGTGTGGCATTTGCTCTCTCCTTCTGTTTTTATGTGCTTTCCAGGGATCGAGTTAGGGCTCCAGGCTTGTGCAGCAAGCGCCTTCACCCACTCAGCCATCTCAACAGCCCCAAACTTCTATATAGTTATTTACTTAGTTTTGAGAAAGGGTCTTGCTGTGTAGCCTAAACTAGCCCTAAACTCCAGACTTCAGAGTAGCTAGATTATAGGCAAACCTTGCCCTGGCTCTTCCCCTGCCCTCTGAGGTTCAAATACACAAACTTAGGCTGATTGATGGTCAGCAGGCCAGGGCTGTTTTCTGAATCCCACTCAGCATCCACCTGCTGGGCTGTCTTCTCTAACTTTTTTTTTCCATCTAGTAAATTCCATCTAGTAAAGTCTTTACTTAAAATATTATCTCTTCTAGATGCTCTACTTGACTCTTATCTATTTTTGGTGTTTTGAGACAAGGTCTTACTATATAACCTTGTTTGACCTAGAATTCACAGTTTCTGCTGAGCACTAGGGACCAACTGTGAGGAACTGAGGCACAGAGGTTGATGATTCTCAGACCTTACTAGGACTGGACATAAATCAAGTCTGAGCAACGAGTTGAACAGTCACTGTTGATCATACAGGGATTCAATAGAGACCTCAAAAAGGTCATTCTGCACTGGGAAGGCCAATGATTCTCTGGATTAAAGGCAATTTTGGACTGGTCCTAACAAAGTTTAGAAACAAGTATTAGATTGATCAAACTGAACCACAAATGAAGATTTTTTTTTTTAAGTGCAGCTACTTTAGCAGGGGCAATGGCTTACGGGTTAAGAGCACATTAGTGCTCTTGTAGAAGAGGCAAGCTCAATCCCCAGAATCCACATTGGGTAGCTCAGAACTGCCTGAAGCTCTAGCTCTGGAGGATTTGATGCACCTGGCATTATCACCCTGTCTGCCTGCATGCCGCCATGTTCCCTGCCATGATGATAATGGACTGAACCTTTTTTAACTGTAAGCCAGCATCTCGATTAAATGTTTTTCTTTTTAAGAGTTGCCATGGTCATGGTGTCTTTTCATGGCAATAGAAACCCTATCATTGTGTGTGTATGTATGTATGCGTGTGTGTGTGTGTGTGTGTGTGTGTGTGTGTGTGCGCGCACTATAAGTCAACTTCAGGTGTCACTCCTTAGGAGATGTCTACTTTTTCTTTTTTTGGTTTCTCTGTAGCTTTGGAGCCTGTCCTGGACTAGCTCTTGTAGACCAGGTTGGCCTCAAACTCACAGAGATCCACCTGCCTCTGCCTCCTGAGTGCTGGGATTAAAGGCATGTGTCACCACTGTCCGGCTTCTTTTTTAATTTTTTTTGAGAGGAGAGAGAAGTCTCAGAGTTTAGGAGCACTTGTTGCTCTTGTAGAGGACCCAGGTTTGGTTC